TCTTATTTGCTGAGTGGTGCTCCCCACCACCACCACCCCCCCGGGTAACTCCAGGCAGAGCCAGAGAGTCTCCCTCTGTCTGGACAAGCATGACAGCAAAGTGAGAGTAAGGATGCTGCCTCACCAGACCGCTTTGCAGTAGCACCAAATTTTTACATGGTGCTCTTCCTCCCGACATGCCAACTTGGCTTATGGCAAAGGAAAGCGTTGTTGTTTCACTTTGCAAACAGGGAAAACGAACCGTGTAATTACATCAGTCCATCCAAGAGGGTGGTGTCAGAGCCAGGGATCAACTTCTGAAATGATAGGACCAAATTCACCGGACAACTCTTACTTCCTTGTTTATTAAACTAACGCATAATGTAAAGTTACATTAGTAACAGATGTGAACCAGAGCTGGAAAGCACTTAGAGTTCAGTGGATGTTCCTCCCCTGTTTCTGTTCCAGCCCACATCTGAATGAGATACTAGACGAGTAAAAGAAAAAGCTCTCCCCTCGCTGTCTTTCTTGATGCAAAATTACACAAAAGTTGGATTGGAAAAGACCTTCGGTGATCCAAGCCTCCCTACAAGAGCACCCTAAACGTTTAGGGGGCAGGATGGCAGTCCTGAGGAGAAATGAGCACCTACTCTTCCCTTCAAGCTGTGCCGGCTGCAGGCACTCAGGCACAGATCTTAAAATAGTTGTACTGCCTATCATTCAAAGGCAAAAAAAAATAAAAAAAAAATTAGAAGGCAGATGTGAAAGCAGTAGTGTGGTTTATGCTTTACTTGTTAAAAATAAATGCTGAGGCTTTAAGCCTTCATTCTCTGTTTGGTTTACGTAATTTAGAGGGATTAGCTTTTTCCATCCTCCTAAGAGAGCAACTGGTGTCTATTTTGCATCTGGGGAAATGTGTGTTAGTCTCAAGGCCTGACATTTGTTTTGTGTCTGTGGAATTCACCCTGCATGGGGCTGTCAAATTAAATACGATAACTGGCTTTTCCAAAGCAGCAGATAATTTATTGGTCATTAAAAATCCTAGTGGCTGCGCATTCTGCTTGCGCTGAAGTCTCTTATTGGTGCCAGGGCGTAAGAATTCAGTAAACACTAATCATGGACACAGGCAAAGGTTTCAGATGGTTGAGAGTCACAGGACTGGTCCAGGACCGCTTCACTGGCTGTTTGTTTTCTCTGTGCTCAGTGTGTTCCTCATACATAATGTTGATAGGTTTGGAGTTCTTTTTCTATCCAAAATGGGTTTTGAAAGGCTTAGGCTTTAGTCCTATAGACCAAGGACCACCTTGCTTTGTCATAAGTGATGTTTTGTTGGTAGTTGTGGCTGATATGGTGTATTTTCTCAGTGGCTTTGCCATTTGTGCTGATCCTAAAATGTGCTCATGGGTATTATCCTGGTGTAATGAGATCAAGGGTTTCCCCTGTGAAGACCATCGCGTGACTGACTGCCTGAACCATGGGGCGGGTTCTTTTTCTGCCCTTCCATCTTATGAAAATCTGGAAGAAGGGAAGCAAAGCTAACATATGTGGGGTCTGATCCCAGATGGTCTGTGCGCTGTCAGTCCAAATTCAGCCTGATCCAGAGGTCAGGAGCATCCCCTTTCCCACCCCACCAGAGCCATGTGCCTTAGATTTTTCCCTGTTGTCCCTTGCATCCTTGGTGAGTCAGTGTTTCACAGCCATAATTAATTTTTGGAAATAGACTTTTGGCGTATTTAAAAATATTAATAATGTTTTACCAGGAAAAGGAGCAGTCCCAGCACAAGAGGATAGCTGGCTTATGGGAAGCATTGGCTGGAGTGGAGCTGAGGGAAACTCACTCCTTTCTGTAGGATTCTTTTCTATAGTGTCAAAGCAGTGAAGTGTATCTACCCACAGTCACCAGGGAGTTTATCTGTGGCTTTGTGTCTCCTTAGGGGCAACACAGAGCCTTGTAATAGGGCAGAGCAGGTGACCTCCTCTCCCTTGGTGAGCCCAGGCACTGTGGACATGTTGCTGGTGAAAAGCTGGGCCCAGACACTCTGTGAACATGGAAACTGGGGCTGCAGGTCCACGGCTGTGTGGTTACATCAGGGTTTGTAACACAGGCCAGCACCTCACGATGCAAGGGGTGTAGCTGGCTTAGCTCCCCTGTTATCCACAACTGCTTGCTTCCCTTTTTGCTTAGGAAGATGCCCATCAATGGTCCAGAGCAAGAATTTGGGTTCATTTATGGTCTGGTAAACAGCATGCAGTCAGCTGATGTCCGCAGTCAGAGCGTCAGACTAACCCCGTTCACCAGAAACCCTAATGGCTGAGGAGCAGATAGTGAAATAGGAATGCAAACAACTTGAAATGCAGATGAAGCCACAGACCCTTAAGTCAAAGCAAAATGCTGTCTCAGGATTGATTAGCAGAGCTGCATCCGAGCAGTTACAGCCAACAGATGTATTTTATAAAAAGCTCACAATTTTAAGTACCACTAAATAATACTTTACTGGCTTAATAAGATATCTAAGTGTCACCAAAGTCCAGAGTGTTCTTTCTGTCTGGTCTGGGGGTGCTACCTGTTTATCATCAAACACTTCTGCTGGCTTATCATTTTCATTCTGGATGCTTATGGTGTATTTTCTGGAGGTGTCTCTGTTGTGAAGGCCAATGGCGTTTGCTTCCCGTAATGTGGGAGAGGGGTATTATTTTTTCCAAACCTGGAAATCCCATTATAGATGATAATTTTGCAGGTTTCAGCAACTTCAA